TGTGGCCAGCCTTCAGGGAGGCCAATGAGTAACTATTAGGAGAAACTAGTTGTAAAATATCCTAAGTAGTGGAGGCCTATAGGGTTAAGACTCTCAGTAATAGGATTCCTTGTTTCTTTTTTTGTGATATTGGAGGGAGTTGCCTTGGATGGGTTGGATGCTTCACTGAGAGGAAGGCTGAATCACTGCCTCTCCTAAAATTCATACAAAAAAAGGAAAAGGGATGTCTTCCCCATAATCACTAAAAATGAGTGAAAATACATTAGGGAAAGGTGCTGAACATCAGTAAGACAAGGATAAGTGGGATTCTGAATTCCAACTCCTTTTCATGAGATCAAGGTGATAAGAGGGACAGTCCATTACAGTGGTGGGCTTCTCCACCGATCTGTTGCTGGATCTACTTTCCACTGCTGGATGTATCAGGGAGAGTGGAAGTGACTCTGTTGTGTCTGCACAACACTACTCTGCTCCTGGTGCCTTCCAGCCCCTGGCAAACTGCTATCTGCACATGGAGCTGATTGTCAACAGTTATTCTAGGACCAAAACTGGGCAAGCCAACCAGCACAACTCCTTTCTTCACAAGTTCCTCTGTCACTGGGAGAGCTTAGGATCAGTGCCGTAGAACCTGCTTAGCCATTACTCAATCCCCGCACTACCACAGATGATGGCTTCCTGAACTAAAATATGTGCATTGCCTAAGCTATTCCTACACTGTCTTCCCCTGTCTGTTTTCAGTGGCCATGATCAGCACTCCGAGGTTGTTAACTGACATCTATATCTAATCATCCTTCTGGTCTCCCATAGCACAGTTTAGACTCAAAGCCCATATGGGTTGAAATGGAATAGGCTGCCACCAGTAAGAGATGCTATTTATAAGCCACACACTAAATTGGAAGAGGAAGAAAAGGACAAATAGGTAGACAGAAGTTAATGGTTAATTTGCCCAAAACTGGTCTCTTTAGGCTAGCCTTTCAGAAAAGAGTTTGGCCTTCTTCAAGGCTCCATAGAAACCAGTTAGCCTCAGTGTTAAGTCCATTAATCTGGTCAAAAGCAAGGCTTAGACCTAGATCCTAAATCACTGGAAGTGGGGAAGGGGAAAAGTATTGGTTCTTGCTCAGCTGTGAATGTTGATGTGGTCAGTCCTGCCTGAGGTTGCTATCTCCACCCCCAATCCTGATAAAACCGCAACTGCAAGGTTTGGACCCCAGTATCCTAATCATGCCAAGGAAGGGGCTGGTGCTGGACCCGACTACTAATGCTGATCTGGTAGAAGAGGACTGAGGTTATGGCTCTGCCGTATCATCATGCCATTGTTGTCTTGGACCTAGATCATCCCAGGGGAGGAGCCAGTGTTTCCTTAATCATGTCTCTTAAAACATCCTCTCTCCCAGCATCTGACATCTGGCCTTGTTAGACCTCTGTATGCTTCTCTAGAAGGTGTGGGCACATCTCCTACTGACATAGTATCTGAGAGCTTTCTCCAATGCTCTGCAGATGTGGCGTGAATGCTGCTTGTCCATTTGTCATTATAAATAGGTCACCATTCTGAAAGAAGATACAGCCACTGATTTGCTACAAGTATGTGTCATCCATGACTATTCATGCCTGACACCCCAGCTATAGTCAGAAGATATCTGACATGAAGAATGATGCTGCCAGCCCTTTAGCCAATGGAAATCAGGCCACTTTGTATACTAGAGCCTCATCTTTAACAGCAGTGGGAACTAGGACCTGTGTTCAACTCTGGCTAGGGGGCTCTGGGTTAAGTTCTGGTCACATGTGTGCCAGTGGGCTGCACAATGGCCCTGACTGCTCCCAGGTGCCCAGTCCCTGTGACTATGGCTTCTGCTCATGTTCATTTGCTCTATAGTTCCCTGAGGGTCCTGGAGCCATGCCCTGGACTACAGCCTGCTTGGTTGGGTCCTGACAACCTGCCCTTTGCCATCTGCCGGCTGGTATCCTGCTTTAACCTGAATGGGCACCCCTGGAACCAGGATGCTGCCACCTGCCCCTGAGCACAGCTGCTCCCTAGCTGTTGCTGTGGGGCCTCCATTCGCTTGTCTGGACCAATCAGCTCAGATTTGTGGAAGCTACACCTCCATCACCTCAGGGGGAGTTCTACAGCCAGGTGAGTCCCCACTGCACTCTAGCCACATATTCTAAGTAGTCCTAGTTTACCCGGATTACAAAAGCTGCACAGATACTTTTCACCATTACTAAGCAACACTCAAAGTCAATCTCTAGAATTTTCAGCAACATCAACTCAGTCATTTTATCCATCAGGCAATAAAGGTATGGTTCTTAGGGTCTATGAACTGATCAAGGGCATAGAAAATTATTTTAGACCTGACAAAAAAGTGACTGCAAACAAAAAATACAACCTAACTTAAAAGTAATTTTGTAGCCAAAATATTCTATTTGCTGTGGAACATGGGTACATTTTATCAAGCTATAGGGTGTGGCACCTAAATGTGAGCAAGCCAAGGACCCACAAATGTAATCTCACAGCAGCCTGGCTCTCATGTTTCCCAAACTCATCCTTATTCACAGTCACTAAAATTATATGGGCGACCACGGTGGCACAGTTGCTGAGTAAACAGGTCGACCAATGAATAAGTAAAGGAAGCAATGACTGAATTTTCCAACAGAAATGCATTCAGATATTTTAAAAAATCAGGAGGGAAACTGGAAGTTGTTGTTTAACGGGTAGTGAGTTTTAGTTTCACAAAGTTCTGAAGACAGCGCACGACAGATTGAATATACTAAACACTGAGCCATACACTTAGATGTTGAGATGGTAAATTTTGTTATGCATTTTTTCAGCAATAATTTTTTAAATCAAACTGAATTTTAAAAATCAGAATTAATATTGATATAGAAATTCAGAATATACCTATGATAACTTTCTGAATTTCACTGGGTCACTCTTAATATTTTCACCAATGTAGCCCTGACTTCTTCAGCCTTATTGCCACATGTTATTTCTTATTTCTTTTGTGACATCTTTTTTTGGGACCAGAAGCAGACACTTTAGTTGATCTGATTTGTTACTACAGGTAACAGAATATTAGGGCCCTAATTACAGAAAACAAAAAAACCTGAAAAAACAAAAAATGATTTTTATTGTATTCATGGGGGGGGGATTTCCTATAGCAAAGAATAAAAAGGTGCTAACTTATCTTCTAATAGATAATTTTCATAATTAGCACATCAGGAAGGTAAAGCAATCAACCCTTTGTCTGCACAGGGCAGTGACTACAGGCTCTGAAGCTAGCTGACTAGTTAATACTAGTTTCACTACTAACCAGCTTAATCTCTTTGGGCCAGTTTTCTCATCCTCAAAGTGAAGATAATAATTTTTAAGAGTTTAAGGAAGTATCCACCTCACTTATGAAATGAGAGTATCTTTTAAAAGCTTAAGAAAGAATATTACTTTACTTAAGCAAGAATTTAACTCATTTTTACAAATTGAGAGACAGAACACTACTTTTAACAACAGGCTAAAAGCCTGTTTAACAAATAATTTCTCAAAGTAGAGTAATACCATCCTATCCTTACCTTGAATATACGGAAGCTTAAACCCAAACTCTGAATCCTGCTGTGTCCCTATTCTACCTTTCCACTCTTAGCTGCCACCACTGCTCAGAAACATACTTTCCACTTTATTTATTTGCTTTAAAGTTTATTTGTTTATTCTGAGGGAGAGAAAGAGAGAGACAGAGAGACAAAGTGACAGAGAGAGAGAGAAAATGAATCCCAAGCAACCGTTGGGATTCCGATGAGGGGCTCACACCCTCAAAATGTGAGATTATGACCTGAGCTAAAATCAAGAGTCGCATACTTAACCCACTGAGCCACCCAGGCACCCCCACGCTTTCCATTTTAGACAGGTTGCTCCTCCTACAAGTTCTTCTAACCATGCTTTAGTGTTTATGCTTTAGTAGTTCCCTCTTACAGAATATATTCCTGTTTCCTTATCTGCCTAAATTCCACTTCATCTTCCAAGTCCCCCTCCAGTCCCTACTGATTCTATTATGTCTTTCTTGAATCTGGTCCGTATGATTTCTCACTTCTCTGAGTGTTTTCTGGGATAAGTATCCCTCAAGATGACCCCTGACCATAAGCCACATCGTAGCACCTACCAATGCTATAGGTTACCCTGTGTAATTTCCTGGGCACAAAAACATTTTTTTTAAATCTTTCTCAAAGTCCTATACAGTCCTAGCCACAAAATAATAAATATTTTATAATTTAACTGTTTGGCCGAAGTCAAAACCTTTGTGAAAAATGAGACAGTTTTTTTTTGGAAAAAGAAATAGGATTATTCATGATATCTTTTCATATGTTTTCTTTGCATATGATCTACCCATCATTCCTTCCATAATTTTAATCCTTAAATTTCTATTTGCATCCTTTAGTTAACCACCATACAAAATATGTTTAGATGATTTTTGTTGTTGTTTCAGTCTTGTCTTAAGATAACACTAAGTATGAAGTTACTTTTAAAGGACATTTCCTTCAGAAATTGTTGTAAAATCATGATGGGGCAATATCTAAATTATAGAGGTATTTTTTGGTCCTCTTTGTAGGGGGCGTGTGGCACTAGGAAAATCATGAAGCATACCTTCCTTTTTCATTTTCATACAGGAGAGATCAAATTTAAATGAATAGAGGACTGTAATAATGGAAAGAAATTCAAAACCACACAGCTTGTGGCACTGACGGATATATGTGGATGGGTACAGGAGGCTGACTTTCTCTCTGTGCTGCTGCTGCTGCTGCTGCTGCTGGGAACTCCAGCCTGAGTGCTTGGATGGAGTATGACTGCAAGGAAGACTTCCGGTGGATCCATAAGTCACACACCTTTGCTTCTTAATCTCAATAACTTACATTCTTATACTAATGCCTCAGGTCTTTTTCTCAATCCCCACGTGCTTTCTGGTTACACGGACTCTGAATCCTCCAAAGCACCCAGGACAGCCTGACAAATGACCACTCACCTTCTTCCTCGAAGAGAAGTCCCATGTGCGCATGCGCCTTGGCTTCTTTCTTCCCACCGTCAATTTTGATCCGTTGAGCAATCTCAAAACATCGTTCATAGAAGTGGTTCCTTACCCATTTGTCTTCAGGATTATTGAAGTAACTGGCCAGTGCATGCAAGTTGTCATAGACATCTTCGAAGTGTTCTTCAAAGAAAAATAAAACTGCATTAGAAAGGTGTCTCACAGCTTGCTCCTTCAAATGTTAAACGAACTTAGTGACATTTATTTTTTATTTTTCCTTAAAAGCATGATTAGCTATTTTAAAAATGGAAATGCAAACTTAAGGTCATGTATTTTAAGCATTAAAATAGTTACGTAGAAGAGGTACACTCCAAAAAAGCGAAAACAAACAAAACCAAACAAACCTTTTTGAAAACTTAGAACATGTTAGAAAGGGGCACCTGGGTGGCCCAGGAAGTTAAGCACCCACCTTCCGTGGTGAGTTCCAGCCCCACATCTTTAACTCAGGCTCTGCCTGGGTGAGCTCATCGCTGAGAGTACAGAGCCTGCATGGGATTCTCTCTCTCTCTCTCTCTCCCTCTCTCTCTGCCTCTCATTCACTCACGCCCTCTCTTCCTTCAAAAAATAAAAAATAAAAATAAAAAAATAGGGGCGCCTCGGTGTTTCCACCAATTGGGAGTGGGATTTCGGCTCATATTATGATCTCTGAGTTTGTGGGTTTGAGCCTGCTGTCAGGCTCTGTGCTGACAGCTCAGAGCCTGAAGCCTGCTTTGGTTTCTGTGTCTCCCTCTCTCTCTTCCTGCCCTTCTCCCGCTCCCGCTCTGCCGTTCTGTCTCAAAAATAAATAAAGATTATTAGAAATTAAAAATAAAAAATAAAATAATATGTTTGAAATTTATATACTCTTTTGTTTGAAAACAGCACGGAGGCTGCTGGGATTTTCTCTCGCTCTCTCTCAAAGTAAACAAATAAGCTTTAAAAAAAAAAACCCAAATACTCTCATCTTAGAACTGACTTACGTTTTGTCTTCACATTGTGAAACTTTTGCCTAATGTGAACAGAGCACTGAAGTCTGTTCTGTAATATTTTATATTCTTTGTCATCTTTAGTGATTAGAGAGTTATTTTATAAAGTCTATAAAGCATTCCATATCTTCTATTTTTAAAAAGTTCTGTAAAGAGGGGCGCCTGGGTGGCTTAGTCGGTTAAGCGTCCGGCTTTCGCTTAGGTCATGATCTCGCGGTTCGTGGGTTCGAGCCCCGCGTCGGGCTCTGTGCTGACTGCCAGCTCAGAGCCTGGAGCCTGTTTCAGTCTGTGACTCCCTCTCTCTCTGACCCTCCCTGCTCACNGGAACACAGGGGCGCCTGGGTGGCTTAGTCGGTTAAGCGTCCGACTTTCGCTTAGGTCATGATCTCGCGGTTCGTGGGTTCGAGCCCGGCGTCGGGCGCTGTGCTGACTGCCAGCTCAGAGCCTGGAGCCTGTTTCAGTCTGTGACTCCCTCTCTCTCTGACCCTCCCTGCTCACGCTGTCTCTCTCTCTCTCCTAGAAATAAATAAAAATATAAAAAAAAAAAAGTTCTGTAAAGAGCTTTTATGAAAAAAGTGATCCCAAAATAATTTTTGTTTTTCAGTAATTACACCTTAATTGAAAAACATTTCCAAAAGTTCATAGTTTTTTTTCGTTTTTTTTTTGTTTGTTTGTTTTAGAATGAGTTATATAAGCTATCAAGATTTCCATATTTAAAGACAATTTGTCAGGGGCATTTGGATGGCTCTGTCATTTTAAGCGTCCAGCTTCGGCTCAGGTCTGATCTTGCCATTCTTGAGTTCTTGAGCCTGCACCAACTTAGTGACAGGCTCTGTGCTGACAGCTCAGAGCCTGGAGCCTGCTTCAGATTCTGCCTCTCCCCCTCTCACACTCTCCCCCTTTCACTTTCTCTCTGTCTCTCAAAAAAAAAAAACATTCAAAAAAATTTAAAAAATAAGGACCACTGTCACCTAATCTATTTTTCTATGAAAAAATGGAGTATTTTTCAGAGTATTAAGTACAAAGGGATATATTCAAGTTTTGAATTTTTGGACAATCCAGATATATGGGTTGTACTCTTTACTTTCTCAGCAGCCTTATCTCCTAGCTTGTAGATTGTTTATTTGAATTGTCAGCAGATATTTATAAGATGAAAATCATTTTTACTTTTGGTTTATTATTTAGGCCGGTATTCACTGTGCTATATAAAAAGGAGATTCCATGATGAAATAAATTTGGAAAATACAGTTGCTAATTTCCTTCTTTTAGTGACCACACGGGATGTATCAGCATTTTAAAGACTCTGGTAAGTCCTGCAATAAACCAACCTTCTTACTGTCAATGTTAATTCATCTGATGTTTCTCAAACTTATTTCATCTGATAATTATTTTTGTTTTGCTTTACATAAAACCTGTAAACATCCTGTGTGACTCTGCTTGTATAGAACATACTTTGGGTATCTTATAAATGTTATTAGAAAAAAATTGCTGCTGAACTCTTAACAATAATGTAAAGTCAGGTGTAAATAATGTTTGAATTATCTATTGATTCAGTTGCCCATTACCATTATTGCCATCTCTTCTCCAGCCCCATGGGGCACAAGACCCTAATCATAACATTACAGATGGTATAGAGATGATTTACAACAATGGGTAATATAAGAAATGTTATTAGGGACAAAAAAAAACACCTCACTTTACCAAATGGAAAATAATCCAAGAAGAAATGACTGGCTTACTTTAAACACTTCTTTGCCATAAAACAGCAAGTGATGTTTTGCAGAGTAATTTAAATAACTGTAGGTTCCTGTTCTGTAAGTCTCAAGAGACAGAACTGACCCAAGATGACTGTTGTTAGTGCTATGGCTTTGATTAAATGAACTTCATTGTGACCCTAGAATGATAGTCTTTCCAATGAGAAGCAATGAGAGGGCTCAGAGATAATGCTACTTCAGGATAATTGTTTCAGATTCCATATATGTCTTCTGACCATATAGGATGGAATCCTGAGACACCATTAACAAATTTTTATATTCTAGATTAAGTGTGTGTTTGCACGTGTGCATGTTTTAAGATTTAAGATTAATTCGTTAATAAGAGTGAATGAGTATATCTCCTTTCCTATTTTCTGGGATGTTCTTAATTCATATCATAATTTTTCCTCAATAAAGCTTATGTATTACATGTGAAAACAATTACACAAATTTTTTAAAGTATACAAATATTTACATGTCCTTCAACTGAGGTATTTCCAACAATATTCTTTGCAATAATTTTAATTTTCTATATTTCAACCAGGCAGAAATCACTGCATTTTGAAGAAGATAACCTGAGCAAGAGGTAATTTTATTTCATTTAACAAATGCAACTTAGTTACTATGAATATATTATAAAACCACCCAGTAAAGAAAATAATTTCTTTTCTTTACTTATACCATGTGTATAAGGTATCAATTACTATAAATTCTGCACTTTTACAATTTTTGGAATTGGAGAAAGTTGGTTTTTAAGTTTATTTATTTATTTTGAGGGGGTGGGGAAAGGTAGAGGGAAAGAGAGAAAATCCCAAGCATGCTCCGTACTGTCTGGGCAGACCCAGTTCTGGGGCTTGAACCCACGAAAGGTAAGATCATAACCTGAGCCAAATCAAGAGCCAGACGCTTAACCAACTGAGACACCCAGGCTCACCAACAAACAGTTTTATTTAAATGTTTACTTTCCTTTAATAAAAATTTGTAAATTAATGTTTTCTACCTTAAAATAGACTACTTAGCATTTTAGTTTCCTTATAATTACAAAATGCTTTATGACAACTTTCTCATATTTATGACACTTTTTGTAACAAGTGATGTATTAGGGCTCATATTTATGCTATTCAAACGAAAGCCTCTATTTAAAACACTTAGTGAATGTGATGAATTCAACTTGAAAAAATGACTAATGGGAAATTTTTATCTTGCTCAATTCTATTTTCAGTGCAAATATCACTTCAGAATTTGGAGCTGAAATGAGACTGTAAGTTTTTTAGAAAGCATTTTTTATTTATAATAGTTAATTTCTTGAGAAATTAGACGTCATATTTTAAAATTCACCAGAGGATTCTATTTTTAAAGTTAATCCTGTAGGGTGTCTGAGTAGCTCAGTTGGTTAAGCATCTAGCTCTTCATTTTTGCTCAGGTCCCGATCTGAGGTCTGTGGGTTCCAGCCCTGCAAAGGGCTTTGCACTGACAGTGCAGAACCCGCTTAGGATTCTCTCTCCCTTCTTCTCTGCCCCTCCCCTGCTCTCTCCCTCTCTCTCGCATTCAAAATAAATAAAACTAAAAAAATTAACAAGTTTATCCTGCAGTTAAGTATTTTTCATAATACAAATATCAACCTCCTGTCCACAAACACACTCGCACACACACATTCACTTGTTATGATTTTCATGTATCTCATATTTGTAAGTTAGGTCACAACCTGATGTATTAACTCCACTGAAGAGGCTGAAAGACTTCTGCTACCCCTCTAATACTGTTACCATGCCCCCATTAATTTTCCCCACTGTCATTGGTATAGTTGTGGAAAGTTGTATAATACTCTATTTTCTTTAAAGATTTTTTTTAATGTTTATTTTTGAGAGACAGAGACAGAGAGGGAGCTGGGGAGGGGGAGAAAAGAGGTGGGAAACACAGAATCTGAAACAAGCTCCCAGCTCTGAGCCGTCAGCACAGAGCCCAGTGTGGGGCTTGAACTCACGAATGGTGATATTATGACCTGAGCTGAAGTCAGACACTTAACTGACAGACCCACCCAGGTGCCCCTGTAATACTGCATTTTCCCATAGAAAGGCCTGAAGTAAAATATAGGCGTTGTTGGGATGTGAGCTTCTCTTTTTCAGTCCTATGATATTGTCACACAAGAAGTTGAAGAAAATAATAATTAAGATCACCAAATTTATATGCTGACTTCTACGATCTAGGATTTCCTTTATTTGATTATATAAAATGACCAATCCTGGGGCGTCTGGGTGGCTCAGTCAGTTAAGCATCCGACTTCGGCTCAGGTCATGATCTCACGGTTCGTGGGTTCTAGCCCCACGTCGGGCTCTGTGCTGACAGCTAGCTCAGAGCCTGGAGCCTGTTTCAGATTCTGTGTCTCCCTCTCTCTATGACCCTACCCTACTCATGCTCTCTTTCTGACTCTCAAAAATAAATAAAAAACATTTAAAAAAAATAAATAAAATGACCAGTCCCTAATATGTGACTAGGAAAGACTTATGACAACATCAGTATAATTCTAGTAGAGATTAAAATATTTTATTCAGTAGTTGTAACACTGACTTTCTGAAAATTTTTCAGATACAAGGAATTTATTACAAATGATGTGATGGAAAATATAAAATTAACAATTTTATTCATAATTCTGAGTTGCAGGCTTTTCATGTTTTCTCATTATTCACTGATAAAAATTCTCTGAAATCTGTAGGACTTATTGGTAAGATCTTCAAATTCCATTATGTAAATAATAGAAAATCAATATAATTTTCAAGTTATAATACTCTTTGTAAGAATCTCTTAAGTAAAAGTCTCCATTCAGATTGTATATTTCAAAAACCACGGAAGAGGTTTGTGATTCATGATATAAAAACATTTTAATACATTGGAAAATTGTGGTGATGTTATTAGGTGCACTGTCTTCCTGGCTTGAAATGAGGTCAGCAGGATGCCCCTATGTATGGGCAGCCTCGTGATTCAGCGTTCCCCTGTCATGTATTCCATAAAGATGCTTAGATGTCTAAAATGCACTGTGCCGGGGCGCCTGGATGGCTTAGTCGGTTAAGCGTCTGACTTTCGCTTAGGTCATGATCTCGCGGTTTGTGGGTTGGAGCCCCGCGTCGGGCTCTGTGCTGATTGCCAGCTCAGAGCCTGGAGCCTGTTTCAGAGTCTGTGACTCCCTCTCTCTCTGACCCTCCCCTGCTCATGCTGTCTCTCTCTCTCTCTCTCTCCTAGAAATAAATAAAACATTAAAAAAAATTTTAAAATAAAATGCACTGTGCTAACGCATCTTAATAGTTTGAATTCAGACATGAAACTCTCTGCAATCTTCCCTCGGGCTCGCTGTCCCGGCTCTTGCAACACTGCTGCCCACAGTCTCTCCACTCACCTTGCCGTTCAGAGGCCTCGGCCCTGATCAGGTGGTGGTAGAAGTGACCCAGTTTATCAGGCTGGTCCTCCAGGGGTTTCTGCAACCATAAAAGGGACCTAACTCTTGCAGCCTCCCGCAGGGCATCCCACTTCTCCATCAGGGCAAAGAGCTCAGTAAAGGACTTGTGATAACCATCTCGCAGCATGTCCACACAAATGTTCTTCTTGTACGAGTTCCGGTAACTGGGAAGAAGAAACCCAACACTCAGAACATTTTAATCCTTTGAATCCATGCAGCATTTTTCTTCTCTAATGATTAAATGTTGAATTGTGCTGCCTTTTCTTTTCCCCCTCAGTAAAAGCTGAAAACTATCTTTTCCTTAAACACTTATAACTGAACAATTTCAGTTTAATGAAAGATGCCAGAAGCTACCCAAATGTAGTAATTTTAATAGAATTACATTATAAATATATCAGTTCCAGAGCTGAGCTCTGTTTGATAGGGACAAATAAACTAGTTGACTGATGTCAGTCCATTCTGGCTGCTAGAAGAAAATACTAGTGACTGAGTAGCTTATAAACAACAGAAATATATTGCTCGCAGTTCTAGAGGCTAGAATTTCAAGATCAAGTCACCAGCATGGTCACCTTCTGGTGAGGGCCCTCTTCCTTGTTCATGGCTGGTGCCTTCTCACTGTGTCCTTACATGGTGGAAGGTGCTGGGGATTTCTCTGGAGACTTTTTTTTTTTTTTTTTAATAAGGCACTAATCCCATTCATGAGGGCAGAGCCCTCATGACCTAAGCACCTTCCAAAGACCTCAATTACTAATACCATCACCTTTGGGAGTTAGGATTTCAACATATGAATTTGGGAGAGCACATGCAGACCATAGCAATTATAATATCCCAAAGTGTTTGATATACTAGCCTCCCAGTAAAACAAAACAAAAAATACAATATGCCAAGCAAAAATAAAACATGCCATTTAATGTCAGAAATGCACTCTATATTATGTGGCTTATTTGTACATTATGGAAGTTCATTCATTCATTCATTCATTCATACTTGGATGTTTGGTTGGAAAATGTTTATTAAAATCTATTATTAAGTATATTTAAAAATATTTTCAGTTAAGATTAAGTTAATGATTTGTTAGATTAATAATTCACTTCTAATTTAATGATAAATCATATACAAGGAGATAAAGTAACAAATGAATATTCCATTTAATTTATCAACAAATAGCTATTAAATTTTCTAAGTAGAAGGCAGTTCTAGACCAAATGGGTTCAGTCTCCTTGTGAAGTTTGTATTCTAGTCGGAGAACATAGCCAACAAGTAAATAAGCAAATAATAAATCATTTCAGATGATGAAAAGTGCTATACAGGAAATAAACAGAGTTATGGGACAACAGCTGTGTGGCAGCTTTTATTCCACTTAATGAGTAATCAGAGGCCAAATCATATAGCTACTAATTATATTACATTACATTTTTTTTAAAATTAGGAGACAATTACATATTTAGAACAACTGACACAATGTGATACTACTAGCAATACAAATTTCAGGGTGGAGTGGAGACAGCCTCGAATTAGTCAGAATACTCAAGGTTGACCTAGTTCTACCTAACTTCCTTGTATCTCATTTGTAAAATGTGTGTATGAATCTATACCGTACCTATATCACAGGATTCTTCTAAGAATGAAAGTAAAGTATGTACATGAAGATGCTCAGATTCATTGAAAGTCCTGCACTACTGGTTCTCAACTCCTGGATATACAGTAGATTCATCTAAAGAATTAAAAAACCCAAAACAGCCCATATGCCATCCACCAAGAATTTCTTACTCAGTGGATCAGCTAAGGTATAGAGGTGAAGAAAGGAGTGGTGAGAAAGTAGCTGTTAAAGAAAAGACAGGACTTCAAAGCTATGGTAAGAAGTTTGGACTCCAGGTGAGAAGTGAGGTAGAGCCACTGAAGGGCCTGAGTTAGGGAAATGACTACATGAGATTGAAGGTTAGAAAAAACACCCGGAAGGAGTGTTCCAGCTGAATTGTTATCCTCCCCTATCTGGGACCCAGATAGATACACAGCACATATTTAATACAATTCATCCATAAAGAGAATAAAGAAGCCACATTCCTAGGCCACAAGGTCAAAGGCCCCCTTGTATGAGACCAAAAACATATGACATAGGGAAGAGAAAAGAACTAACAGATTTTTGTTTGTTTGTTTCTACCCTCTTGTCAAGACAAAGGAGGATAGTATGAAGAAGGAGCAATGAAATGCTGCAAAGGCCATGTCCCCTCTCTCCTCTTCTTTCTACCTGCCCCCACACAAGGTATACCAAAAGTCACTGTCTTGGGTTTCTCAGAACCAGCCATTATAATTTCCTGTAGCTCCTGAATGGTATGGGTGAAATGCCACAGTCATCTAGTGGGCTCCATGTAGGATAAAAAGTTAATGGAAATAGAGGGCTGGTATATCTGTCAAATGTCACTGGCCACAACAAGAGAATGTGTGCTAAAATGCTCTTGTATGGGCTGCCCGCTGGGGGCTGAAGGACACAGCTGTAACTCTGAGAATAAGAAGGCTCAGGGAGCAATCAAAGGAGTCAGGTCAGCATATTTCCAGATCCAACAGAAAAGGATGGACTGAATGTGTCAGAGGTGGACACGTGTATTGAACCACATAGGTTTGGAATGCATTCAACGACAAGTAAGAGAACTTGTCTCATAGTACCTTTAAAACTAGAGATTTCCATTTCTCACAGCAAAAGATGCCTAAAAATAGGCCTTGGTTCAGCAGCCTGGCAAGGTCACTGCCTGTGGGATTATCTTATTCTTTCCTTTATGCTTGTCCCCTGCTGGTCACTAGACGGTTGTTATAACTTCAGACATTGCGTCCATCTTCAAGGCAAAAAGAGTTGGGGATATGGGTGGCACCAGATATGTCTTTCCCTATTATTGGGAAAAACAAAAGCATTCTTGTAACTGCTAGTAAATTCTTAACTTTGGTCCCATTGGCCATGGACACCCCTTGTTGCAAGGAGACTGGAAAAACTAAAATTCTGCCTGTCCTTGGGCACATTGCTCTCCCAAGCAAAACCAGAGTTGTGTTAGCAAAGAAAAATGGAGAAACAGATACTAGAGAAGGATATTCAGTGTCTATACTAAGGTCCTAGATTAAGATCTGAAAATAAATACTGACAACCCCCCAGCCCTTGAGATGCCAGATAAAACTGGGCAGGATGCCCAGTTAAATTTGAATATCAGATAAACAATGAATATTTTTTTAGTGTTAGTATGCTCCAAACATTGCATGGGACATATTTATACTAAAAAAGTTTTTTGTATTTTGAAACTCAAATTGAAGTGTATATCCTATCTTTTTTTTGGTTAAATCTGTCAACTCCTCTCCACTCTACCCCACTCCAGCACTGTGTTGTCGCTCTATGAGAAAATAGGGTGAGGGGAAGAAGTGTCAGAATCTTGAATAACCTGAGAAATCACTGAATTGGACTCACATCACCTGAGAAGGACAAGATTGGATTTTTACACTAGGGAGGATCAAGGCTCAGGGCCAGGAATTAAAATTAAGTTATAAAAAACTAAAGGCTTTCAATTTAGCATCTTTGAGCTTGTGACTCTGAAATGTACACCTGATCCAACAGAATGGCCAGGCGGAGGGAGGGTAGAACTGGGAGCAGCGCAAAGGGATGGAAGACTCTGGCGGTCCTAGAAAGGACAGGCCACCGGGGCTGAACCAAAGGGAAGGCAAGGGGAGTGGACGGAAGTAGGTGGATTCAACACACATTTAGGAGATAAAAATATCAATTCCTTGGTGACTGAGTGGGTGTTGGAGGTGTAGGAGAAGGAAGACTTGGAGGACAACCAGGTTTTGAGGCCGGGTAATAGGTAATTGGTTATTTGTGAGAGAAGAGGACACAAAGGGGTGAACAGGTTTGGATAAACATAATGAGACTGGATTCAGGTTACTTAAGTGAGAAGAGGCTGAAGGAATATCCATGTGGTACCTCCGAATGGGGGCAGGTTGTGGGGGAATATAGGAGATCTGAGGACAAGATCTGAGGGGCTAAAACTAACCTCAAACAAGCACTGTCATCTTTGATGGTTATGCCTTTAAAGAGAAGAAAGTTATAAATAAATAAAAATTAGAACACTGACTTTAAACAATAAAAACAAACACAAGCCAGGAGACCATCTACATTCTAATCTCAACTGGGACAAAAATGCAGAAAATCACTCTGCAAGCCTGGTTTCCTTTACCTGGAAGGTGAGGGTGTCTTGGTTGCTTTGGTCAGCCAACACCTAGTTCCATTTCCACAGGTAGCAGTACCCCAAAACACTTTTGGAAATGACCATTTTCACACTGTGTGTCATCTTGGTGGGACTTGATGGTAAGGACTCTCTAATCAAGGGGTGGAGCAGAGAGAGAGGGAGACAGAGAATCCCAAGCTGACTCCATGCTTTAAGCATGAAGCTCCACGTGGGGCTTGAACTCACGAATCATGAGATCATGACCTAAGCTGAAATCAAGAGTTGGATGCTTAGCTCAATGAGCCACCCAGGTGCTCTGCAAATTATTTCTTTTACCAAAATAATTTTCTCTTATTACAATGAACTGACTACCTGAAAAAAAAAGTATGTCAATTTCCACCATGATATTTAGATTTCTCAGGTTTTATATTTCATAATAGAATCATAGTTAAAGTTGACTTGCCTTATGGAAAGAATTTTTTTTCTAAACAAATAGAAATATAAACAGAATTCACTTATTTTGTTAATCATTTGGACACAAAGTTATTTGTCTTTGGTTCTATTTGCATATTAGAACAAATATTAGTCTAAATTAAAATATATTCTTTTTTTTTTAATGTTTTATTTATTTCTGAGAGAGACAAAGCATGAGCAGGGGAAGGTCAGAGAGAGAGGGAGAAACAGAATCGGAAACAGGCTCCAGGCTCTGAGCTAGCTGTCAGCACAGAGCCTGACGCGGGGCTCGAACCCACGAACTGTGAGATCATGACCTGAGCCGAAGTCAGATGCTCAGAGTCCCTAAAATATATTCTTTGTAACAATCAGAAGAAGAAAAATCTCCTCAACCTAAAAAGTCATGATGCTGGGCAGAAATTGAGAATTCTGGTAAAATTTATGTAGATATTTGATGGTACGGAGTTTGAGAATAGTTTTCCCAACAGAAAACATGCCATTGATAGGAG